CCTGTTACAATGGGGAGGGGGGAAATAAGGAGGCTTTGCTGTGGTCCAAGTGAGATTTAATGGTTAAGGCTGGGTGTGTGATAGGCTAAATAATGTCCTCCCAAAGATGTCCACATCCCATCCCCAGAATCTGTGTTAACTTTTACAGCAAAAAAAAAAAAAAAAAAAAAAAAGACTAAAACCTACTTGCTGGTGATTGCTAATCTATCACTTTACATGAAACACCTAATAAAATACTAATTAACTATAAATTCTATTTTATAGAATTGAAGGAGAGATTATTGCATATTGAGACAATTACTAAATTCAGCTATTGATGTTAAGATTTTCTTTTTGATCAACCAAAAAGAAATGACTAATGGGCTATGTTAAATAAATACCAGTCTAGTGTTGATTGACTAATGACACATACTGCACATTCCATTCTGTGTAGTAGGAATACAAATAACAAACCCTCCAAGTTATTTTATTACTAAGTTTTTTTCTAACAAATAGTGTATACATGTGCTATGGCTTTTTCAAAAGAAAAATATTACCTCATAATTAGTAGCAGCTGAAGTGTGTGGAAGTTTTATTATTTTTTTAAATGTAGGGGGATGGCTGATCTATTTGTAGGTATTTACGAAAAGTAGTCTTTACTGTTGATGTGCACAAATTCTGATCTTCTTACACATATATTTAGAGTAAATACAATTTACCTAAAAATATCTTTCAATTAGTGGCTTAAATTGAATCATATCTCATATAATATTTATCTAATTAAATTCACATAGTTAATCATTGAAATATAACAAAATAAGTCAGAACATTAAGAACAACAGAGGATATGTGTTTGCTTGGTTTGCTTATTTTCTTACTAATAACTTTTAAATCTTTTTTCTATATTTTCGATACAAGCTTTTTATTATATGTTTTACAGGTATTTTTTCCCCTTCTGTAGCTTTTTTCATTCTCCTAGTCTTAGAAAGAGCAAAGTTTTTAATTTTGAAGTCCATGATATAAAAGTATTTTAATGGACTATATTGTTTTTTAAAATATGATATCTTATTTTTAAAATCTTTACCTGAAGTTCACAACTATTTCTTCTTATGCTCTCTTCAAGTAGTTTTGTAGGGGTTTTTGTTGTTGTAGTCTGTGATACATTCATTTTGAGTGAAGATGGTACATGGTACAAGATATATGGATCAAGATTAATGGTGTTGCATATGGATGCCTGTTTCACTCCAGTTCTAGCACTGTTAAAAGACTTCTTTCACCATGGAATTGCCTTTACATGTTATTGAAATTGCCTTTCTACTTTTGTTAAAAATCAGTTGGCCAACTGTTTATTTCTAGGCTCTATCTTCTGTTAATCTATGAATTTTTCTTTCACCACCATGCCTTTCTATTGACTACTGGAGTTGTAGTCATGTCAGACAGTGTAGAGCCTCCAGTATTATCCTTTTTCAAAATTATTCTGGATGTTTCTTTACCTCTTCATTTACATTTTATAATCAGGTTTTAATTTTTGTGTTTGATTTTTGAAAGTCTTTGGAGATTGCTTTGTACTCTAATGAAGAGCTCTAAGATATGGCTACTATGTACTTATGAAGTGCTCATAGATGTCTGAAGGAAAAATCAGATGTTGATTTTTGTCAAGTTGGCATTTAGAAAAAAATGTGTTCACTCGTTAATATGCAATGAAAAGAAAAAGGAAAGCAGAGGCTTAATTGTTTGTGTTGTCTGTATGAAGTTAATGAAAGGGTATAATAAAGCTGTGAAAAGGACAGTATGTTTTAGATCTCCAATAAAACAAAAGTAAAGCAAGATTATTCAGAAATCTTGAGTTATGATCCAAATGCTATGAACTTATATGGTGTGTTGAAATATATGCTACATACTTTAATTTTTAAAACAAAACACACATTGCCATTAATCTGTTTCAGAATAGTCCCCTTTGCTTTGAACACACTTATCCCAACCTTACCATTTTCTGAAGTAGTTCTAGAAGTCCTCTTTTGTGTCCTTAATGAGATAATAAGATAATACCAAAAGTACAATGAATGCTGCTGCTAAGTGCCACCAGTGGAAAAGAAGACTTAGACACATTACAGTGTTTCCTCAGCCACTTTACTCACATGCCTGGCACCAGAAGATATTGGATTCTTTCTCCAAAGTCAGAATGACCGTGAAAGAGAAATGTTTTAAATCAGTTCAACATGTTGAGGCAGCCCCAATATCACAAAGACACAGAAGACCTCCAGAATTTCTTGATAAAGTGTCAAAAATAGTGGGATAAGCGTGAGCATGGTAAAAATGAGTATTTTGAGGGGGGTTAATGGCAATGTCTTGTACTGTACAATATGTTTAAATTTAAAGATTTACCGTAGTTTTATATCACACATAATATATAGAATCTCTCTCCCTTTATTTAACACTTGATTATAACTTAAAGATATAAGGGGATGTTTTGTTGCTGTTTTGTGTTTTGTTTTGATTTTTGGAGTTACTGAGGCTTGAACCCCCCAGCCCTTTTTATTTTTTATTTTGAGATAATATCTTGCTAAGTTGTCCAGGATAGTCTCAGACTTGTGGTCTTCCTGCCTCAGTGTCCTAGAGTGTTGGGATTACATGGGTCACTACACTCAGCTACCATGAGATATTTTTATAACTATTTTTATTGCTATCTTAAAAATTAGAATGTAGCTCTTCTACTACAAAATAAATAATTAGGAGTACACTCTGTAACTTCTCATTATAACACAAGTCCTTTTGATGCAATTTTATATCTTCAAAGCAGAGAGAAGAGGCCAGCAAATATTTTTCTTTAATGGCCAAATAGTCAATATTTTAGGTTTTCCAAATCATATGGCCTCTATCACACCTACTCATTTCTACCGAAATATGTGAAAGCAGCTACAGACAACCTATAAAGTAATCATTATGGCTCTGTCCCAATAAAACTTTGTGAAATTTTTAATTTCATACAATTTTCCTGTGTCGTGATATATCATTCTTCCTTACTTTTTCAACTATTTAACTAGAACAGCCTAGGGGTATAGATCAGTGATTGTTACCTCCCTAAGTGCCTTGCTTAGCTGCCATGCACAAGTCCCTGGATTTGATCAGCTTTGCAAGGAAAAAGAAAGTGAAAGCCAAAGACATTCTTGGCTTGTGGGTTGTAAGAGCACAAATGGCCCGCCACGTTAGGCCAACTAGCCACATCTACTCATCCTGTTCTAAAGTGTTGTTGCCCAGCTTCTCTCCTGAGTATTGCATGATTTCCATTTAGCCACCTCACATAAAACATTGCAAAAATTTAAATTACTTTTCCTTTATTGGCCTAGACTTTTTTATCCTTTTATGAATGTTAGTTGCATACACACAAACATGCACAAAAGAGGCTGATGCTTCTAGTCTTAAGTAGACCTTCTTAGAAGGTTGGCCCTTGGCTGCTATCTAGGAACTTGGATGTCAGTAGTGTTCTGTGCTTAGGAACATATCATCCCTTGTACTTAAAATCATTGAAGATACTCTCTGCTACCAAAGGATGATATTCAACTCCTTAGCAGAGCGTTAAAAGCCTCTATGATCTATCTAAGGTAGATCTTTAAAGTTCTCTGGATCTCCAGCATATACTTTACACTGTGACCATACCAAAGCACCTATAATTCTCCAAACCAGCTTTTTTATCCTTAAATGCCAATCTACTACCTGCTTCTTCAAACCTGCATTGCCTCTGCCCTTCTTAACCAAAGAAAAATTTTTTCCCCAGTTTGTAAAACTCTGTTCCTAATTTGAAGTGGCCTTTGCCACTAAATATATTAGTAGCTTCTTGTGTGTTGCTTCCAGAACACTTTGTATTTTTGATCATATTGTAGTTCCATTATTTGTTCTATTTGTCCACTTCTCTTGAGACTGCAGAATACTTGAGACCAATCTGACATATTGTTTCATCTAGCACACAGCCTGGTATATTGTGGGTAGTGATTAATGATGCAGTATTTTCAAGGATCAAATTAATTTGTCTTGCAGTTGATGTAATCAAATGAGGGAAGGAAGAGATGACATAGAGCTATGTACATACAGTTCCTCTTCAAAAGTTTGATTTCATGAAAGTTTATAGATGTGAGATAACCTGGGAATATAAGATTGCCACACAGTTATCTTTAAAATAGATATGCATTAGTATAAAAACAAAAATAATTATTTCTAATTTTGGGGGGGTTATTTTGCAATAAAACCTCACTGTATTTTATTCTTTCACATAGGTGGAAATGGATATTGTTGAAAAACTGGTGAAACTGATACCATGTGAGCATGAAGATTTACTGAATATCACTCTCCGGCTTTTACTAAACCTGTCCTTTGACACAGGACTGAGGAATAAGATGGTACAAGTTGGACTTCTTCCAAAACTCACTGCACTCCTAGGTATGCTTTTTAAAAGTTACTGACAATATTTCTTGGACTTTCCAACATCACTGGAAAATTGAGTGCTAAATTAAAAAGCCTTACAAATGATAAATTCTGTATGTGTTCCTTGATTAGAAACTGATTAAAAAGTAAGCAGAATAAATGAAAAATTACCTGTGCCAGAATTTCTGAGGTATTGGAGAATGAAATGGACTAGGACTGTTTAAACCTTTGTCCTCATTAGCCTATACTGAACCCCAGTGAAAGTACTACTAGGGAAACCAAAATAAAATATATTTTTATTCGTCATTTCTTGAAAAAGCAAACATCATTAAAATTTTTATATTTTGCTATATTTTAGAAATACTACTTACAAACACAAATTTGTGGAAATATTTTGTCTAAGTAAAAAGGGGCACTATATTTTTGTGTAGACTGAGTTTTAAAATATTGTATTAGAGAATTCATTTTGAACATTTAAATAACAAATTATTTTGTTTTGGCTCGAAGAAGATATCTAAAGGGTGAGGTCAGGAATTAATGCTTCTGTGCTGTTAACTTAGCTTTCTCACCAGAGCATGAAACACCCCTAACCCTCTATCCAAAGTCTATCTTCATTGCTCCTGCCAGCCCACAACGTTAAGCATGGCCATACAGAAGCACCTGTGATTCCTTGCACAAGCTCTTTTATCCCTGAGCACCTATCCCCTTGCTTTATCTCTCTGTCCACAAGGCCACTGCCTTTTTTATTAAGAAAGCAAATTCTTATTCATTTAATACTGTATTCCTCTGTTTCAGTATTGTACTTATATTCTTTTTTGCAGCTTTTTCCATATATTCTAATGTTACACTAGAATATTGCACATTTTAGAAGATATTGTAATGAGGAACATTTTCAAAAATAGCTTTTGGGGAATCAAGGAATACAGACATCTAGGGAAGAAAAAGGAAAACGTTAAGAGTAAAATGACTTCCTTGAATTTAATCAATATAACATTGTATCATAAATTTGACATAATTATGTATCATACTCTTAGTCTATATTGATAATTAGGTTATGGCCATTGTTCTGAAGCCATTGAATAAGGTTGTATTCATAAAAGAAGAAGAAAATATGTAGCAAATATTTCAGTTAAAGCAGTTACCTAAGACATAGAGAAACCTGGGCCAGTATGACCAACAATAGATTGCCATTTCAACCTTAGCTTAGAATATGACTAAGAAAATGTGAGAAATGGGCTTAGAAAATGGGGTAATGCTCTTATGTGGGATGAAAGTTTTAAAACTGCTTGTTATAGCTGGTGATGAGAATCATTGCAAGTTTTTGAGCTGGGTAGGTTATAATCAGAACTCTATAAAGAAATTAATCTAACATTATTCTGTGGGAAGTACTAAAACTAGAATCTAAAGATGAAACCAGTAGCCTGCCATCATAGGCAAGACATCACTCAGGGCAGTGATACTATGGCAAGAATGAAGTAAAAGGAAAGGACAGAGAAGACCTATTACAGATAGAATGAATATAATATAGTATTTGGATATGGGTAATGACAGAGAAAATAAGATGCCATAAAATTGCTGGCATCTAAATCTCTTCGGTAGGCTTGAGACAGGAGAAGTACAAGTTCAAGCCCATCCCATGCAACTCAAGAGACTTCACAAGAACTTGTCTCTACTTAAAATACAAAAAGAGCTGAGGTGTTATTCAGTACAAAGGCCCTGGATTCATTCCCCAGTACTGAAGGGAAAAGATCATGTGGACAGAGACCATAAAATCCATATCTGTTGGAATCTGCTGTCAAGAACAAAAAGAGATGAATATGAAAGAGTGAAGAATTTAGCTGAGACATGTTGGAGACATCTATGGCAGAGATGATGTTCACTGAACAGACAGACATTTGAGCCTAGAGCTGAGAAGATATAAGGGTTAAAAACTTCAAAATTGTCTAATAGGTGAATAGAGGTTGAAAGGCAAAAACCATAACGAACAGGGAGTGGTGGTACACACCTGTCCCAGCTGCTCTGCAGGCTGAGACCAGAGAATTGATCGCTTATTCAAGGTCAACTTTGGCAACTTACTGAGATCCTGCCTCAAAATAAAATAAATAAAAATGACTGGGAAGTAGCTTGGGTAAAGTCCCCAGTACCAAAAAGAAAAATGAAAGGCATAACAGAAAAATACACTTTGAATACATAAAAGTTCAGCAAGTTTAGGCTGTTAATGAAAAGTGATAATAGTCTTGGATTCTTCATGCAATAAAGAAATGAGGAATATTTGAGTAAAGAGAGCACTGAAAACCCTTACATTTATTTTGAATTCTTTGATAGTGTTGCTTCATCATTCTCTTAAATACAGTACCTGTGGAGTCCTAGGCCATCATTTCTCACTACACTAGAGTTAAAAATTAGAACTGTTCTAATCTTACATTACATTGCTAGAGACGGTTGACCTTAAAAGTCTTCCTCTCTGTTCTTGGCTGATCTGTAAAAACTGAGAGCAAAGTTGTTCTGAGACTTTACTAGTTAGCTCTAACTTATAAAATAAGTGGCCAGATAGCACTCCACATATAATATCCACAAAATTTTTCTGGGAAAATATACTGAAAAAAACCCACACAAGAAAGGATACTGTGAATTGAATAATCATTAAAAGCAAAGAAGTTAATTACAGTTTAGCTCTTTTACTCTGAGAAGATAGTAAATACATGCATGAGAACTTCTGATGTACTGAGGACTAACTAGTAGTTTTGTGATCATTCCTGCATAGGTAAGGATTTAGGATGTTACCATGCTCTCTTTACATCTGTTGTTGCTCACTAATTAGTGAATCTTAACAAGCTATGTCATTTATTTCTGCTCTGATTTTTATTATTTCTTTCCTTCTACTAATTTGGAGTTTGGCGTGTTCCTGTTTTTCTACTTGCTTGTGAGATATTTCTGCTTTTTGATATAGGTGTCAATTACAATAAACTTCCTTCATAGTACTGCTTTGCTGTATTACATAGGTTTTGTTATGTTTTCGTTTTCATTTGTTTCACGATTTCTTTAAATTTCCTCCTTAATCTGTTGGTTAATTTCTATGTACTTGTATAGTTTTAAAAATTTACTTGTTACTGATTTCTAGTTTTAGTACATTGTGGTTGGAAAAGATACCCAATATACTTGCAATTTGTAAAGATTTATTTGTGGGCCTACCATATAATCTATCCTGGATAATGTTTCATGTACTATTCAGAAAAACATGTTTTCTCCAGCTGTAGGAGGGAATGTTCTGTAGATATCTGTTAGATCCATTTAGTGTGACATGCAGGTGAACTCCACTGATTCTTGATTTTCTGTCTGAATGATGTGTTCATTGCTGAACATGGGGTGGGAAAATGTTCTACTATTGTATTGGATCTCTCCCTCCATGTAGGTCTGTTAATAGTTGCTTTATCCATTCAGATCTTTTGCTAGTGGTTGCACATTGTTGACGATTGTTATTCCCTCTTGTTCTGCTGATCCCTTTGTCATTATATAATGTCCCCTCCTTTATTCATCTTTAAATTGGAGGATTTTTATTTAAGATAATTACTGAAAAATAAGATCTTAATATAGCCGTAGTACGACTTGTTTTCTAGGGTTTTTTCCCTATTGTGATCATTTCTTTCTTTGTCCTTCTCCTATAGTCATTTTTAGAGTTTTAAGTGATTTTTCTCTAGTAATATGTTTTGATTCTTGTATTACTTTCAGTGTGTCTATTCTTTACTTTTGTAGTTACCATGAGGCATTATAAAAATCATCTTTAGATTATAACAAGCTATTTTGAAATGCTAGCAACTTAAAATTGATCAAAGACATGTAAAGATAGCCAAAAAACTAAGACTATTGTAGCCTTATACTCCATTACTCCTTACAGTTTGAATTTTTAATGTTCTATTTTACTTTTGTATATTTCCTGTTGCTGAACTAACACATTTACTTTTTTTACTCATCATATTAAAGATATGAATGGTGTATTTACCATGTTTATAATATTAGAGTGTACTGAATTTGTCTCATTACTCTTAATTATGTAAGTACCACACTCTAAGTGATTGCACCACTGGAGCTCCTCTTAATTATGAGTTCTGTACCTTCCTGTGTTTTCTTCTGCATTACTAATATCTCTCAGTTTGAAGAATTCTTTTTTATCATTTCTTTTTTTCTTTTTTACTAGGGATTGAACTCAGGACCTTGCACTTGTGGGGCAGGTGGAGGAATCACTGAGCTAAATCCCCAGCTCTTTCTTATCATTTCTAATGGGATGGGACTGATGGAGATTCATACCGTTTTTGTGTACTGGGCAGTGGCTTAATGTCTCCTTATTCCTTTTGTGGGGTTAAGGAATTATGGCCCTGGCAAGCACTTTATTACTAAACTATATCTCCAGCCTCTTCTTTTCTTTCTAAAGAGCAGATTCTTTGTTGGTAGGAGTTTTTGTTTGTTTTGTGTTTGTGTTTTTGTGGGGTTCTTTTTTCCTTCAGTACTGTGAAAATCTTATACCAATCTCTCCTAGCCTGATTCTTTTTCTTCTTAGTGTGTTTTACTATGGATGCCTTCTATCACATTTTTATCTCATTTACCATACTTTTCAACTCAAAGATTTCTGTTTGCTTTTTTATAAACTTCGGTTTCTCTAAATTTCTTTGTTAAAGAACTGAATTCTTTATTTTTTAAAATTGTGTGTTCCAGAAATATTTTAAATTTTATGTTTGAGAGTTCACATATACTGATTTCTCAGTTTTTAGTTTTTTATTATGCTCCATAGGAGAGTTCAAGGATCTCTTAAGAGTTGTGATGTCTCTTGGCATCCCTGACATCTGAACCCTCAAGGATTAGGTATCCACTTTGGGTGATCTGCCTTTTGTGTGTGTGTGTGTGTGTGTGTGTGTGTGTGTGTGCGCGCGTGTGCGCGCGTGCATGTGCCTGTCCTTCCAGGAAGGAATGACTTCTAAGCAGACTGCTTTTCCCTGGGTCTGTGGTCACTGGTGCTGTTT